GGCTGTGTATCTGGCCAGCAGCTGCTTCTCTGATGTACACGGGGCTTCCTTCCACCACTGGGACCAGAGCCCTGTTGGAATGGTCTGCTCAGGTTGTTTCTGCCATGGACCCCAGCTGTAGCCCTTGGTCCTGGTAAGCTCTAAAATAAGTGGACACATTTGGGGTATTGGGCACACAACTATTTAACCTGCTCCACAGAATCTTAGCTTATTCAAAAGCCTCTTGAGGCCTTCTGACCCAATCCCAAGTGGCTTCTGTTTTTTTTTTTATCAAGTTGTATAAGGAGCAGGCAACTTGATCGAGGTGTGACATAAAAATGTGCTAATGCCCCAAGAGATCTGAAAATACCCATAGTTACTTTACATCCATTGGGAGAGGCTGCTATATAATTTTTTTCAATGACATTTTCAGGCGTTGTGCATGTCTTACCCAACCATAAGATTCCCCAGAACATTATGGCAGCTCTAGACTCTTGCATCTTGTGGGGATTGATTTACATTTCTGCTCCTTCCAGTGTCCTTGTGTGTCCTCCAGATGTTTTTCTAAATCTACAAATGCTCAGAGGTCAGCATGATATCTATGTAATGCAACATTTTTATAATGGGTGGACAGGATAATGAGACAAGGTCCCAAGCCATGGCTCCATGACAAATGGTGGGGTGTGCAGTAACTCTGAGGGAGCACTTGAAGGGTCCACTGCTGTCCATCCCAGGTGAATGCAAACTCGTCCTGGTACTCAGCAGTTAAGGAGATACTAAAGAAAGCGTCGGCAAGGTCCAAAGCACATAATAAGATCCCATAGCCTACATTGTTGTTCAGTCATGAAGTCAGTGTGGGACACAATGCCACGGATGGGGCACCGCCTTATTTAACTCCCTATAACTCAGTCACTCTCTGTGAGCTGTCTGGCTTCTTCATTGGCTATACTGAACAGTCAAAAGGACTGTGGGGGAACAACAATTTTTTTTTTTTTGGTACCAGGGCTTGAACTCCGGTCCTTGGGCTTGCGCAGCAGGCGGCAAAACCACTGAGCTAAATCCCCAGCCCAGGAACAACAATTTTTATAGCACTCTGGTGGGCTACAGTGTTTGGTATTAACCACCCTGCACGGGGCAGGGCAGCTTTACTGGGTCTGTTTCCCCAGCTACACATCACTGCCTACACAGTGCATTCTCAGGTTGATTATCTGACTGAGAACCATGCAGGGTGTGCCCCAGCAGCATGTCCACTCCCACTCTGTGATGTTGGTTTTTACCTGTGAATATCTCAAGATCTGGATTCTCTGATACAGGTCTGTTAGCTTAGGCTCAAATTGATTTCAGACAGACTTATGATCTTGGCAGAGTCCCTCATGATAGTCATCATCAGGCATTGATGCATAAGAACCCTTCTTTTCCAACCTCCTGACTCTATTTACCTATTAGTTGAGCTGACGCAAGTGACCCCATAATGATATTTTGTGTTTTTCTCTGACTGCTTTTAAAACTCTTGGGTTTTCATTCTGTTGGATATCTGGCAATTAAAAAAGGACATGTCCCAGTGAGCTTCTTTAAATTTTCTGCTATGATTTCTGGAAACATATTAATAATTCCATCTGTGCTATCTTCTAGCTTTTTCTAACTCCAATTAGCTTTAGGTTGATCTCTTTAGTGTCATCTAGCATCTGCTGGATCGTCTTTTGTTGTTCTCTCTCTCTTTCTCTTTTTTTTTCTTTTTTGGTACTGGGGATCGAACTCGGGACCTTGCGCTTGCGAGGCAGGCAGCGGAACCACTGAGCTAAATCCCCAGCCCCTGTTTTTCCTTGGCAGCTTCTCTGAGTGCTTCTTCATAACTGACCATTTTGTCAATTTCAGACACACTGTTTCACATTGGTCATTTCTGGAGTTTATGAATTCTGTTCAGTGTTTTATTTCGGCTATTTCTACCTAGTATCTTTTTAAGATTTGTAAATCTTTGGTGAATTTGTCACTCATGTTTTGAACCAATTTGGTGAACTCTTCCTGTTTTTTATTTCCCTTGTATCCACTTTGGGCAGTGTGATATTTCTGTGAACTTTTGGTTCATTTCCTCTTGGAACTCGTCTGGTCTCTTTATATTTTCTATAACTTTTTTTTTTTTTTTTTTTGCGGTACCGGGGATGGAACTGAGGACCTTGCACTTGCAAGGCAGGTGGCAGCACCACTGAGCTAAATCCTTGGGCCTCTATAACCTGGTATTGCTTTCCTGGTCTGCGTCCAGGCCTCCCAGGGGGTCCCCAAACATCCCTGCTTAGCTCTCCCCATCTCCAATTGCCTCTCCCAAGTCTGTCTCTCATCCAGTGTCTGCGGTAGGTAACACTTCAGTCCCGAAGCAAAGCTTTCATGCTGAGGAGACTCTGGGAGCAAGGGTGGAGTTGGCCAGTGGTGGGGTGTTCGGTCAGTCACGGAATCCTAATTTGAGCAGCGAACTGTCCAGAGTGAGCAGCTGGACCACTGCCGATGTCACCATGTCTTCCCCTGCAGCCGAAGTGATGCTCAACTTCAGCATCAGCCCCCACTTGTAGCGACACAAAAGTACAACTTGTATCATCCATTATCCTTTTTATTCCAACCACTATAAAAGTTGTGATGCTTTATTAATTGGCTTCGTACTTTGGCTTCAAATAACTAATATCCTCCTTATTTATCTTTCCCAAGAATTTTATTATGAATTAGAGAACATTTGCAAGAAACGCATTAAATAGTATAGTGTGCAATAGAATGTACAGGTACTGAGGATCAAGGGTGAAAGCCATGTAAATGGTACACGGGTCAGGAAATGGAACATTGCCAGCATCCCTGAGCCCATGGGCCAGCAGATATTCTGAAAACTTGTCAGATTGAATACTTCTTTTATAATAATGGCTCACAAAAATCTCACAGAAATATTTTACTATTTATTTCACGTTCACTCATTGAACACTTTCCACCTTCAATGATTCCAACTGATCCTTTTTTTTTTTTCCAACTGATCTTTTTTTTTTTTTTTTTGGTACCGGGAATTGAACTCTGGATCTTGTGCTTGCGAGGCAGGCATGGTGCCATTGAGCTAAATCCCTGACCCCTCAACTGCTCATGTTTGATGCCTTTTTTCAGCAATTCTGGGGCATTTCCCCATCTCCTATGCCCTCAGCTTTCTAGAAACATGTACCCCAGATGTGGATGTAAAAACCTTAGTTCTGATCCTGCCAAGACGTGGGTCCAGAGAATGTTCCCTCCTCTTTGCGTACAGTCCAGGCTATAACGTGGGGTGCAGCAGGCAAGGAGGGTTGGGGAAGACTCTGGTAAGGTATCTTTGATAATGTTCAGTGCTTGATGGCTCTGAGGGTGGAATTTATGTGCTCTGTGTCTGTGGATTCAGGACTGATCTAGATTTTAAGTCTTTCTAGAATTCTCATGATCCTTTTTTGCCTCCAAGTGGCAGGATTACAATATTAATTTTCTGCTGCATAGATTTCTCCTATGTTTGGTCTGAATATGACAAGGAAAAAGAGTGAAATAAAGGGTGTACTTTACACGGTCCTTATGGGCTCGTGACAGCTGAAATTAGACACAAAACAGAGCAGCAACATTTTTACTTACAGGTTTAATGGAAATGATGCTGCTCGGGGACGATGGTGTTTTGCCCTGGGAAAAGCTGTTTCTTGACATTAGCTCAGGTTGAGTCATGGAAAGAGTGTGGGTTTTGGAAACACAGCTTACATTTTATCTGTGGCCTGGTCATGTGATCGGTGTGTGACATCATCAAGACTTGGTTTCCACATTTTCAAAAGAAAACAGAAAAAAAAAAAAGAGAAAAAGGGCCGGGGATTTAGCTCAGTGGTTTTGCCGCCTGCTGCGCAAGCGCAAGGACCCGAGTTCGATCCCTGGTACCAAAAAAAAAAAAAAGAAAAAAACCTAATTCCTGTTCTTAAAAATAAATCACCTCGCAGAGTATGTTAAACATGGCTGGTTACCTTTGTGCCCAGCTTCTCCGTCCTGCCCCCTCACGTGATCAGCCCGCCCTTTCTGCAGTGGCTGCCATATTTACTTCTGTGTCAGTGATGCTCACACCTGTACCTTCAGCGCCAACCTCTCTCGGAAACGGGAGAAGCTGGTCTCCAAATGCAGAGTGTGATCTGAGAGGAAACTGTGAGCAGAGCACTGTCACTTGTGGGAAATGACCAGGAACAGGTGCCCAGGGACACCAGAACCCAGAAGGTGGTATAAGAAGCCAGAGAGAAGGGAGGCACCGATTTGGTGTAACCAGAGGTGCTGAGCGCTCAGTATGTGCATCAGGGTGAAATGAGCTATACTTTTCACACACAAAGAGAGCTCCATCTAAATGTGTGCTCTAGCCTGACTTAAATTTAACTTCGTATGACACACAAAACCCACAGTCATTTTGGATTGCAAAAAGAAGACCTGTGTTTGCAAAAGTACTACATGTTTTGTTTTGGTCTTAACAATGGAGATGCATTTCCTACTGTATAAATTATTAGCACAGGAGGTGTCAGTAAGATGATGAATACAGACTGAGACAATGTCTCCATCTACTTGATGCATTGTAAAAGCTAAGTCGTGTGTGTGGTTAAGGAATATTTACTATGAATGCAAAGAAAAGGTTGAAAGTTTGTTAAATTATAAACTTTGATTCTGATCTTCTTCGTATTTCTTAATGGTAATGGTAAGGCATGCTCTTAATAGTTACATGTTGAGTCAGTGAATACGAGTCATGTGACCCAGATTCACAGCCTGTTCACAGTGAATAACTAAGAATAATGGCCTCAGATTCGCATGGATGAAGGGCGCAAACATGATTACAGGGAAGAGCAATGAAGTAGATATTACGTAAGGTGGCCCATCTGGCCACAATATGCAGCAGTTAGGATATCCCCATTTTCTTTTTTTTTTCCTAAATGTAAATGACAATGAATTTCTTTACCAATTCATTGATCACCAAAACCTCCAAACAAAAGCAACGGCATAGATAACTCAGTGCATATGTTTAAAAGAAAATAATGACATTTGATTTTATTACTGATGCAGAGGAGAAGGGAATGTGGTTGATGAGAGAAGCACACTGAATCAAAGAGCAGAACTACAGAAATTCTGGGTTCAGAGCAATTACTTGGCAGCCACATCCCCTTGGGCAGCTGGGGGTCAGCCGAGTCTAGAACCAGCCTCTGGGACTAAAGAAACAGAAAGCCTTGTTCCAAGGCTCATATAGTCATCATGTTCGGGTCAGGAGCCCTGTGAGGGTAAAGAAAAAGTTATTTCAGGTTGCTGAGCCCTCTTTCTCTAAGTCTCAGGACAGAAAAATGATGGTCTAGTAAGATAAAACGTAGCCTGATTTAAAAAATACGATTGATCTCAGCGAGATAAAGAAATGTTCCTCCTCCACATTCATCCAAGGGCTGAGGTTGAAAGGTAAGTTCAGCCCTGAGCCCTAGTCCTTGTAGTCAGGATTATGGTGCGGAGAAAGCATCTGCATCTCAGCACCTCAAGAGAAGCAAAGCAGGAACATCACCTGTTTATCGAGATCCTCGCTGGCCTGAAACAAAAGGAGAAAGAGAGTGGGTTTCACTATTATACCACCTTAGACACTGAGAAGACGTTCCCGCCCGCCTTCCATTGTCCTGGAGACCTTGTGCATCTGGGTGGACTTAGATCCCAGCCTGGGGATTCTTCTCTCCTCATCTTTGCTCTGGCAATTTTAGTTTAGTGGCTTCTAGAACACTCCAGCACGACCTTTCTGTCCCATCCCTTATCATGGCGATGGGCCAGTCAGGGAAGAGACCGGCTGCAGTCACCTGGCAGGTTTTCCTACCTTTCTTGCTCCTTATGTGCATAAAGATGCCCACTGCAAGGAAGATGAGCCCAAGCAGGAAGCCCCCGATTCCAGTCAGCTTCTTGTTCCGGGCAGAATCAGATTGAGCCTCTGGGGAAAAACAGAATCCAGTCTGAAAGCCTGACAGAGAGCAGTTCCTGGGTGTGAGGCCCGTGCAGGAGACTCCCCAGATTTGCTGATCATGGGGAGATCCTGCATCCTCAGCATCCTCTAGGTCAGGGGCAGGAGAGTCTCTATTCCTGAAGCTCAGAACTACCCTCAGGGCCTGCATAGGAAACACAGGGTGTAGCTGTGACCTCAGTGTGTAGACAAGAGGAGTGGACCTTGGGCCAGTGTGGTCCCTGCTTTTCAGAAGTGGGCTCTGGGACGGTCACTGATGGGAGATAACTCACTCCACTCCACAGTGACAGGGCCGTCCAGGCTGGGGTGCTCCACGTGGCAGGTGTAGACGTCTCCCTGCTGGGGGGTCATCTCCAGCATCACTAGGATCTGGAAGGTCCAGTCCCCGTTACGCATCAGGTTGGTGGACACGACCCCAGCTGTTTGCTCCTGTCCATTCAGGAACCACCGGACCTCAATGCTGCCTGGGTAGAAATCTGTCACTTGGCAGATGAGCAGGTCACGGTGCTGCAGGGCCTCCTTCTTGGAGGGCGACACGTGCACTTTAGGCTGCACTAGGAGTGAAAGGGGAAAAAAAGCGTGAATTGGAGATTATTATTTCTTAGATACTGTTCACTGAGGAAGTGTTTTCTAGATATGAAAGCTATACATGTTATAATTAGGTGAGCAGACACTGATCACACTACGATGATGGAAACAGACCTTCCCATGGAACATGCATGATCACTGATTATATAATAAAGGCCAAGAAGCTTGCATAATTACATAATATAGGCTGAGAAGCAAGACAATAGCAATACTCCATTGCATATTTAGAAGAAAATTTAACTATAAGCCACTGGTTACCAGTAATAGTCTTTTGACAAAGAATGGTTCTCCAGTTGTCAAACATCTATTTTTCCAATGCTCTATCTTTAGCAAAAGGATGCAAAATTGCCTAAATCATGTCTTAAAGTTGAGATACATAGAACATGGTATTCATTCGGTCTACCACCAATCTAATCACATTATATTATAAAAATTAAAAGTACATGAAACAAGTTTGACAATGATTTACTTTTCAGATAGCCTACATATTCTATGGTCCCTCCTACCCCAAAACTCAAGATCTTCATATTTACAGTAATACTAGGCTTCCCAGAAAATAGGTCCTACCCTAGAAACAAGTTCTAGAATGATTTTACAAGAGATCAGAACTTTTTTTGGAGGGGTAGGTCATATTTTCAGGGAATCAGGGTACACTGAAACCTAATATCCCAAGTCTGTTTTGATTTTTAGGGATTCCAATCTATTAAAAAGTTTCTCCTCTGCAATGTCTTTCTGTTGGGAGCAATGCTACATAATTTTAGGGAAAAATCATTTGGTTAGCCTAGTTCTCCTGCCTACAGCCCAGCTATGGCATTTCGAGACAGGATTCCATCCTGGCCTCCAGTCACAACTGAGACCTCAATGATCCCGTGATGCTGTGATGCTCCAGGGCAAGACCACACCTGAGGGAGACACCCTGGGAGGAACCAAATCTTCATCTGCATAGTTCCCCACTGATCTAGGAATTCTGCCACTCCCATTATCTGTTACATTTGTTTCTCCCATGTGCAGTAAATTGGGGGCTTTCGTCTTTGCCACCCAGAGCAGCACTGATCAGGCCCAAAGCTCAGCTTCTTCTCAAAGTCTCATTTTTCTACCTCTCCTGTATAATAAGTTAGTTCACTTTGTGCTGCCGTGGCTCGCAGGAGACTAGGACTCACTGCAGAGGTTCTAGTAGCGTCCCCTTCCCCTGCTCCCTACATCTTTCTTGGTTGCTTGTGAGAACACACAGATACAGGTGTGGTCTGAATCTCTCCATCTCCCTGATGTACCATGCCTTCCTCAGCTGGATCTTTCTAGGTTACTCTCGCCTGCTGCTCATACATCAATTTCCATGCTGCTTGTGACTCAGGAGCTCTACTGATGGTTTGTGCTTCTGGACCTCTACCAGCAGGACTTTCCTTTCCTCCCAAGACCAGAAAAGATCCTTCTGCCTCAAGAGAAAGCATATTCAGTAAAAATTTCCCCTTCAGAGCTTTTAGGTCCTTAATATCTCAGTTTTTTTTTTCCTCCAAATTTCTGTTTCCCAGTGAACACAAATACCCTGAGGTGGGACAGGGTCAGGTAAAAGGATGTTTCTGAACTGCAGCTAGATCTATTGTTTTCTTTAGCAACTGGATTTTGTGCCCAGATGTATCCACACTTCCAGTCTTCTACTTGAAGAAATGTAAATGATTTACATTTAGTGACACTTTTTATTTAACCACTTTTATAAACTGAAAATTCCTCTAACAGTTCAACTCTGGTCTGAATTGTAATTTGAAAATTAAGTTGAATTGCTCTCCCTTTTGGACTCCTTGGTCTCATGCACATCAGAGGCTACTCTGGCTCGGAACATTCTGTAAGGAACTTTGCCTGCAGTACACATCTGACCTCTAGGTGGCACTAACATTAAATCCACAGGTTCAGCGGTCTCAATTCTCAAACAGATTAAAACACATTCACTAATGGAAAAAGATTTCTGTGTGTTCTAAAACTGCCTTGTTGAATGCCCATGGAACATCTGCTCAGTTACTTCTAGAATTTTGTTATATATCTACATTAGAAATTCCATAGCTTCCATTCTCTTTCCTTATAATTCATGCCCTAATTATTATTCCCTAAACAATAAGTTTTTCTTATTCCACCTCCCTGATTCCAGTTCCTCCCCTTCCCAATCCATTTGACACTCTGAAAACACAACTCTGACTTTGTCACTTCCTGTTTTTAAAAAAACTCAACTACTTGTAATGCTTACCTTGTTACATGAGAACAATGGAAGAGCTAATTAAACCGTAGATTGAAAATTGGGGCCGGGGATTTAGTTCAGTGGTTTTGCCACCTGCTGCGCAAGCGCAAGGACCCGAGTTCGATCCCCGGTACCAAAAAAACAAAACAAAACAAAAAACAACAAAAAACCATAGATTGAAAATTTTATTTATTTATTTTTGTGCGCTTTTTTGGGGGTGGGGTGGGGTACCGGGGATCGAACTCTGGTCCTTGCACTTTCACAGAAGGCAGTGAAACCACTGAGCTAAATCCCCGGCCCTCATTTATTTATTTTTAGATTGATAAATTTTTAGCCAAAGTTACTATAAAAAATAGGAAAGAAGAAAACCATATCAATGTAATTAGAAATGGAAGAGGTGAAATCACAACCAACCCTGTGGAAATCCAGTGGATTATAAAAAAACTACTTCAAAAATGTATATTCCAATGCATTAGAGAACTTAGAAGAGATCCAGAAATTCCTACATACATTTGAATTACCAAATTGAGCCAAGAAGATATAAAATCTCTGAATGGACTGATAACAGGCAATGAAATAGAGACAGTATTAAAAACTCTACCAACAGGGCCAGGGATTTAGCTCAGTGGTTCCGGTGCCTGCCTCACAAGCGCAAGGTCCTGAGTTCGATCCCCAGTACCAAAAAAAAAAAAAAACCAACAACAAAAAAAACTACCAACATTTAGAAGCCTAGGACTTGATGGATTCAATAGAGAAATCTACCAGAATTTCAGGAAAGATCTAAAGCCAATATTCTGCAAACTCTTAAATGAAGTTGAAAGGGAAGGACTGCTGTAAAACTCATTCCTGGAAGCTAGCATTACCCTGACAGTAAAACCTGAGGACTTAACAAAAATGGAAAACTACAGGCCAACCTCCTTAATGAATGCGGCTGCAAAAAAACCTCAAATAGGTACTTTCAAACAGAGTGCACCAAATTATTAAAAAGATCACACATCATCAAGTTGGCTTCACCCCAGGAATGCAAGGTTGATTCAACATATGTAAAATCAAAAAATAAATCAGTAAGTCACAAAACAGAAGCAAGGATAAAAGTTAAATGTTCATATCAATAGATACAAAAAAAAGCCTTTGACAAAAATCCAACATCCAGTCATGATAAAAATGAAAATAGTTATAGAAGAACTCGGTGGAGGCCATTTAGGGCAAACCCACCGCCAACATCATCGGATAGAGAAAAACTGAAAGCTTTTCCTCTAAAATCATGACAAGGGCGTCCGCTATCACCACTCCTTTCAATACCATGCTTGAAACTTTAGCCAGAACAATCAGGCAACAGAAAGAAATAAAAGGGATACACACAAGATAGGAGGAACTCAAATGTCCCCATTCCTAGGAGTCAGTGTTTTGTGCTCTCTGGCTCCTCATTCTATGACCTCATCCCACCCAGCCCTGCTCCCTCCAGCCTGCCCCTCCTGTCCAAGAGAAAATCCACTGCGCTGCCTCTGTTGACTCCATGGGTGATTCTTCTCTCAAGGTGCTGGGAGATGCTGTCTCCTTATTCACAGATGACACAATCCTTTATATGGAAGTCCCAAAAAACTGCACCAAAAGTTTCCTAGAACTAATAAACTCAGCAAAGTAGCAGGACACAAAATAAACACACAAAAATCAATAGCTTTCCTGTATACCAACAATGAACTCATTAAGAAAGAAATTAGGTAAATAATCTCATTCATGGTAGCTTTAAAAAATTAAATCCATACAAATTAACCTAACTAAAGAAGTGAAAGGTCTCTAAATTAAAATTATAGCACTTGGAGAAAGGAGATGAAAGGGGATCTTAGAAAACGTAGACATCCCCTATTCCTGGGTAGGCAGAAACAATATTGTCAAAATGGTCATATTACCAAAAATGATATCTAGATTTAATGCGATCTCAATAAAAATAGCAATGGTGTTCTTCACAGAACTGGAAAAAAGCCCTAAAATTTACATGGAATCGGGGCTGGGGATTTAGCTCAGTGGTTCTGCTGCCTGCCTCACAAGCACAAGGAGCCAAGTTCGATCCCTGGTACCAAAAAAAAAAATTTACATGGAATCAGGAGAGTCCCAGAATAGGCAAAGCAATCCTGGGCAACCAGAGCAAAGCAGGAGGCATTTCAATCCTGGATTTCAAATTGTATTACAAATCTACAGCCATAAAAATACTATGGATACTGGCCCCAAAACAGAATGTGGATCAGTGGAACAGAAGAGAGGATGCAGAACAACCCAGGCACATTCAGCCTCTGATCTACAAAGGGGCCCAAGGCATAAGCTGTAGACAAGATAGCCACTTTAACAAAAGACCCTGGGAAAGCTGGGCATCCATATGCAGAAGGATGAATTTAGATCTGCATCTTTCACCTTGTACTAAGATCAAATCAAAATGGAGCAAAGACCCAGACATTAAAACAGAAGCACTGACTACTGGAAGACAAAATAGGTTCAGCTCTTGAAGACATAAGCATGGCCTAGAACTTTCTGAACAGAATCCCAGTTGCACAAGAAATACCACCAAGTGGCAACAAAGGAAACATCCACTAAGTGAAGAGACCTAAAGAATTGGAAAAACATTTGCCAGCTGCTCCTTAGATGGCTTAGATCCAGAATATATAAAGAAATTAAAAAATTAGCCTCAGTAGATAAAAGGCCCCCTCCCAGGGCCGGGGATTTAGCTTAGTGGTTCTACTGCCTGCCTCACAAGTGCAAGGTCCCAAGTTCAATCCCCGGTACCAAAAAATAAAAAATAAAAAAGACCCCTGCCCCAAGACAGGAAACAGAAATGAACAGAGACTTCTCAGAAGAAGCAGGAGTGGCCAGTGTACATGAAAAGATGTTCAGGATCTCTGGCCATTAGAGAGTCGCAAATCAAAACAACACTGGCTTTCTCTCCCACTCCAGAGAGAATGGCTATCATCAAGGGCTCAAAACCAACCAGTGCTGGAGAGGCGGTGGGGAAAAGGATCCCTTCTCCATCACTGGAGGGAACATAAACTGTACACCCACTATGTAAATCAGTATGCAGAGTTCCTCAAAAATCTAAAAAGAGAAATTCTATTTGACCCAGCCATACACCTTCTGGCTATCTTCCCCAAAGGAATGAAAGACCCCATATTACAGTGATACCTGCACAGCACAACTCGCAATATCTAAATCTTGGAAATGGGTCTCTATGCCTATTAGCAAATGAATGGATAGAGAAAATGTATTCACGGGTCGGATTTAGCTCGGTGGTGCCACCGCCTGTCTCGCAAGCGCAAGGTCCCAAGTTCAATCCCCAGTACCAAAAAAAGAAAAAAAAAAAAAGAAAATGTATACACATTGGAGTATTACTGGGCCATAAAGAATAAATTTTGTCACTGGTAGGAAAATGGGTGGATCTTGAGTCATAATGTTAGGTGAAACAAATGAGAGCCAGAAGGTTAAGTGTCACATGGTTTCTCTTATGTGAAAAACATAAAGTATAAACACTTTAAAAAGCAAAATAAAAACAGATGATAGGGAGGAAGACCTTTTGCAGATGGGGGTAGAGGAAGAGGGGAGGGGGGAAGGGAAGAAGAAATAAAAAGGGTTAAGATGCAGTGAGTCTACATACCAACTTCCCATAATGAATGCATTCATGTGCCAGAAACAAGCACCAATAAAAACAACTTCTAAAAAATGAAAACAGAAAAGAAAATGATACCATGTAGATTTATATTCCTACACCCCATGGTAGGGCCCTGCAATTGCTGCCAGTCCTGTTTCTTGCTTTTGCACATTTTGGGGGGTAAGGGCTGAGGCAGGGTCTCCCTTTGTAGCTCAGGCTGGCCCTGAACTCAAATTGGTGGGGATCCTCCTGCCTCAGCCTCCCGAGTGCTGGGATTACAGGCCTGAGCTACCATGCCCGGCGCTTTCGGACAGTTTTTCACCTAATTACTTCGGCAACTTCCTACACTCAAACAGCCAGTGGGGTCCCAAACAAAACCCCTGCCAGTCCCCAAACCCGCGCTGCAGGCTCGGCCCGCACCCGACCGGTCTCAGCCCTGCGCCGGCGCCTTCCTGAGCCTGACCCGCCCGGCCCAGGCCCTCCCTGTCCCCTGCCCCGCTCCACCCGTGCACTTCTCCTCGCCGTCACGGGTGGCACCGTCCCTCGGCCCTGAGCCCCGCTGCTCAGCCTCCTCCCGCCTCCCCTCCGCGGGTCCCGCTCTCGTCCGCCCGCGAGGTCCCTCCCCTTCCGGCTCCGCCTCCTCGGCGCCCGCTCCCTCCCGCCCTTCCGTCCCCCGCGGCCCTCTGTCCCCAGGCGCCCCCCTCCGTCCCGGGGCCGCGGGTCCGAGGATTCTCCCCGGGCCCCCGCTGCCCGCCGCGGCCTCACCTCGGCGCTTCATGGTGAAGCCTTCGTCCCCCTCGTAGTTGTGTCTGCACACGGTGTCCACCGCGGCGCGCTTCTGCTCCAGGAGCTCCTTCTGGCTGTTCCAGTACTCGGCGTCCGGCCGCCCCAGCTCGGTCACGGCGCGGTACTCGCCCACCTCGCTGTCGAAGCGCGCGAACTCCTCGCGGTTGTAGATGTATCTCTCCACGAAGCGCTGCGTCCAGTTGCGCGCGTAGCAGTCCTGCCGCGCCTGGAACACGTAATTCTCTGCGGGGAGAGGGGGCCGCTGAGCCTGCCGCCACCTCACGATCGCCCTGGCCGTCCTGCCCCTGCCCCTGCCTGGCTGAGCCTGAGGGCCGCGGCGCCCCGCTTCGTCCCCCTCGCCCACGCCTCAGCTTTGGGCTCAGCGCTGCCTCCAGGACCCAGCGGGACGTCTCAGACCTGCCTGCCTTGTGGCAGGGCCCAGTGCCACGCGGAGGGACCGTGGCCTTTGTGGTCCTTTCCTGGACCTCCATTCGCTACCGACTGCCGCCGATGACTGGTTCACTCCAGTCTTCCCACTCAAAAATGCCCCCCATCCGTGACAGAGAGAATGCAGCGATTCTGGCTCACTGCTGAGGGCTGGCTCAGGGGTCTTTGGGAGGGGCGGTCAGCTGAGATCCGCCGGAGGAGCGGGGACTCTCAGGTGTGTCCGGGCGGAGGGGGTCGCAGGGACTGGGCCTCTCATCGGGTCCCTGCCTGCCTCTGCCACTGAGGGAGGAATCCTTCTCTCACTTCCTTCTCTCCATGGCTAGGTGCGCCCTCTTCTGTGTCACTATGTTGGGTACACCCCAGGTTACCCTTGCTTGGCATGCTGGAAGTGCAAAACCAAATTCCCTGAAATTTTCTTAAAGTTTCTTAGTATAAAAGGCATTCGGGCCTGAAAAATAGCGTATCTTTTCATTTTTCAAAGAAATACTTTATTTCAAAAAGTGCAGACTTTTCCTTAATCGATGAAAAATCATAATTAGAGACTTATGGGGATGTTCCTTGCTCTGCATCTAGAGCCATTGATGACGGCATTTCTTCACACAGAAGGGAGGAAGCCTCTCCCACCTCCATCTAGGAGCCGCCAGGGTGCTGGCAGGTACAGGTACAGATCTACACAGAAGCTGCTTCGGGGGTCTCTGCTTCTCTGAGCCCCTTTGGGCCTGCTGTGTTCTTGGTCACCTCCAGGGAATGAAGGTGGTGTGATTCTTTTGCATGTCTCTTTCATCCTCTGCAGGTTAACAGCTGAAGGCAAATACCTACCGCCCCCCCCAACATCTAACTGCTCTCAGTAAAATTTTCTTTCTTTTTTTTTTTTTTAGTAAAATTTTCTTATTAGTAAATGGGTGAAACAACAAGTGATCTGCCCAGGTCATAAGAGAGAGCTCCAAACAAGTTTACTAAGTGCTTTTTAGACACAGCAATCCTCATTACTTCACTGAAGACTATATCAGACGTTTAAAGGCCAGACCCAGTCCATCACACAGCTTCCAACACATTTAGAGTCAACGTGCTGTGGGCTGCAATGTGGCCTTACAGAGGATGCTCACCTGGCACTGCATCCAGCTCATCCTGGCCTTTCCCTCGGGGGATAAACGTGACAGAAGAGTAAGTTCACAAAGACCCAATTGCACAGTGAGCTTCTGCGAGAGCCCAGCTGATGTGACAGGGCCTTGGGGATGTGGCCCTGAGCCCTGGGCAGTGGGTGTGGTGATACAGGGACCCAGCCGTGGAAAGCACATATTAAAAGGCTGCTGGAGCCGGAAACCTATCACTCCACCAGTGTGGTTTCTTGAAGCCCATCTGCTGCATCACCTCTTGCTCACTAATGCGTTTTTGTTTTTTTTTTGGTACCAGGGATTGAACTCGGGTCCTTGCGCTTGCGCAGCAGGCGGCGAAACCACTGAGCTAAATCCCCGGCCCCTTCTAATGTGGGTTTGATCAGCATTTCCTTCCCTCACTGCTCTTCGTCAAAGCCTGCTCTCTTCTGTGTCTTTTCTCTTCTGCCCTGTTGGAGGTTCTAGGTCTGTGTGGACCTAGAAGAGTATGAGAATTGTAGTCTGCGCTGTCCACTCTGCCTACATTGCTCTGTGGCTTTAACAGTTTTTACTGAACATTTGTGCTGGGCAGATGCTCTCAGAACCAAGTCTCAAGCCCTTCTCATCTACACATCCTCATCCCATTTCACCACTGGGAATTCCTTGACCACTCCCACTGCCCATTATGCCGCAGATCTCTCCCTGTGGGCTGCTGGTGCTGCCTCCCCTCCTCCTGCAGGCCTTGCTTCAGGTCTTACACACACACCTCCAGGCCCCTTTCCCAACTGCTTCCCTCTCATTCCCAGGATGATGAAGGCACAATTCCCACTGAGCTTCCCTACTGCTCTGAGCTCAGTGCCTTCTGTGACTAACAAGGGAAAGTGCTGCCTCCCCTCTCAGCAAGTGGACCTGAGAGGAGAATGCTAAGTACTAGCAGCTGTAGTACTGGTGTAAGCTCAAGGAGGAGCTCTTTTCCCCTTAGCCAACCCTACCTGGGCTGTCTGATTACCTATAAGGAATTCTTTTCACAGACTTCCACGTCCTCATCTCATTTGTCCCATTTATCCTATCCTATTTATCTCATTTATCCTAATTCACGTTGATTCTTTAACCAAGATCTGGGGAAGTTAAATAATCAACTTCAATAAGGATCTCTCAAGGCAGAAACACACCTTTCTGCCCCACTGGCTTTCAATCGTGCCTTTGCTCTCCAAGGGCCCAGGCTCCTCCACTGCCCTGCGAAGCACAAGGCAGTGTCCCTGAGTCCTGAGTCCTTCTGAAGAAAATGAAGCAGATGTGAGGAATCCCAGAAGACTGGCTTTGCCGACCTGTCTGTCTGGAAACAATGTCCCCCAAAGTTATTCCATATCTCTTGGTCCACCATCCGTAAGAAGCAGGGTCACCACCCTCTTGACACCTCTGCCCTATGCACTGTGCCTGTGTCCCTGAGAGAAAGAATAGGTTGGCTGGATGGCAACAAGGACGTGAGCCTGATTCTCTAGTTGGAAAGGGAGGACAAGGGGCTGTGCCAGGAGGCCCCATAGTTTCTCAGTTTGATCCCCTATTGAGAGCAGCCTCTAGGAATTGTTCCCTGAGCCAGGTCCTCCCAGAGCAGGGGCTGTGGTCTTACCTGGAGTGATCCTGCCTTGGGCCATGGGGTTGAGCAGCACCAGCAGTGCCACTGTCAGAGCTGCTGTCCCTGGGGCCTCAGGGACCTGCAGAGCCATCTTGGTGAGATGGAGAAAGTAGCCGCCAGGGAGTGAGAGACTCACTAAATAAACTCCAGTGTGAACTATCAGAGACTGCAAGCCAGTGCAGTCCCCTATGGCCCTGCTATTGGACAGACTCTGAGAAAAGAACCAATGGGCGTGAAGCTTTCTATGAGTCATCACTCACTGGGTAGATGGTTAGTGTGAAAGGCCTGGCAACTTAGTGTATGATGTACTCAAGATGATGGGGTGATATTTATTTTAATCATGAGGTTTTGGGAGAGTGTGTATTTTCTTTGCTCTGAAGGTGATCTGAAATATTCTGTTAGTCTATGGCGATTATTACTCTCCCAAACCTGCCACTTCACACATCTCCGTGTCTAGAAAGTCACCTGTGACATGGTTTATAGAAAGACAGATTAGAGTGCCTGCCTTCTCAGAACAAAATGAGTCCTTGAGCCTGTCTGCTTTGTCTCTGTTCAAAGGGGTTTTTAGGATTTTCATCATCTATGTTTTCTTGCTCCTTCAGATCTGTTGGTCTTGGGAGGTACCAGGTACCCATGGTCTCTCCTCAGGACTGCCATGGGTTCAGCAGAGCTCAGTCTAAAGACCGTAAGAATCTACATAGACCATAAGCTTAGGAGCACGTACACAGCTGTAGCACCAAGTAAATCTGTGACTTGGAGGCCATTGTGTTTTTCGGACTTCGGTCCTTTCTGTTTTGCGTGGGGCCGACATAGCTGATCTTTACAGAAGCGATATTGAATACAAATGAGACAGACAGATCTGACATTGCTTTGGAATAGTCAAGTTCACAGAAAACAGAATAAAGAACCAAGGGGAAAAACCATCAGAGACCCTGCGCCCCCCAAAACATCTTACTCTGTTGTGTTTGTTGTGAATATTTTCTAACACTTTCAAAGAAAATTACCCTGTAGTTTACAAATTTGTAAATATGATCTTATTGAACCAAAAATTCTGATAAAGAACATGTCAAACTGGGGACATTTCTTTAACACAGATATTACAATGTAAATAAAACGCTAGCATATACAATGGAAGAGAAAAAAAGAATTGTTAGCATAAGGTGTCCATGAGGAATGAGGAGTCTGTATAGAATTGTGGAATTGTGGAATAAAATTGTGCTCAATTTCTTCAGTTAAAAGTGCTTGGGTTGAACCTCTTCTTTTCATTTATAGATGATTAGACAAATGCTTAACTCCTCAATGTCTTAGGTAATTTATTTTTAGAAGGGACATAAATAATACAGATTTCATGTGAGGGTCAAATTATATAATACTTGAAAAGCAGTAATTCTAACATCTCTCTGCAATAATCTCTTAATACTTAATTATTATTTATGCAGGGCAAGGCTGCCACAAAGCAAAAAAAATTAATATAGCATACTTCATTATTACATTAAATATCAAATGCTTTGTAACCTTACTTATGAATAACAAAGTACTTCAAGATAAAAAACTAAAACAAGATTAGAAAAGTATGTCAAATAAAATGTAAAACAAAAAAATGAATATTACTACTAAGAAGAAAGCATGAAGGAAATCACTCTTAAAAATAACATCTGGGCTTGGATGTGGCTCGCTGTTAGAGGGCTTTCCCCTGGCTTCAATCCTCAGCATCACAAAAGCAAACAAACAGAAAACAAAACAAAGAATCGAAAAGGACACTGAAAAGTTTCCACTGAAACACAAGATCAAAATAACGGCACATTGTTACCATATTCAATGTTATATTGAGTATTCTTATGTGAGAATAAAATAAAATTAATAGTAATTTAAAAAGAAAAAAAGATCATTTCAAACAACTTCCATGTCAGAAAAACTCAAACGATACGAAACATGGATAATAAGAACTATGTGAAAAACTCACTAGCAAAGGTCTCCAGAGATAGAAAAAAAATACTGATAGATCAAATGAATTCAAATTAATTAAGATCTCTGAAAGAAACTATTAAGCTTTTACATAAATAATTAAATGAACAGCATGTGTCTCAGCCAGGCGGGTCTGGGAAGAAGATTAATTACTTTTATTAGGTAGCGCAGTTACCCTTAGGTAACAGCAGGATATTTTTGTATCTTGATGAAATTTTAAAATTACTTAGAAAAATAGTGGACAAAAGAAAAATCAAAGACAATCTGGATGCATAGGGAGGAAATGAGGGTCAGGAACACAGAAAGACTAACCCTGTCACATAGCAGCATTTCGTATAAATCATTTGCCATCAGAAGTCGGTACAACTTATCTTTTCAACCTCTTTCTCCAGCTCTGAAAATGAGCTATGAACTGGAATTCCCCCGGCCTTTCTGGCTTCTAAAAACCCTCCCTTCTTCTCTACAGCTCCTTCCAGTTTTCTGTTTACCCAGCAACAGGGAGCGTCAGCTCTAGTTCTTCTCTGATTGGTTAGCCTAGCCATGCTGTTTCCTCTCCACCCCTTTAGTCTATTTTCAGCCCACAACTTCAGAGTTCTTTCTGTCCCCATCCTACCTCAGTTCTCTATCACTGTTCCTGTGTTCACAGTCCACGGTTGTGGAGCTCAGCGTGTGCCCTGAAGAGAGGATGTTCCAGGCCAGAGCTGTGATCCTGAGCACCCTCTTCCTGGCTTTCTTGCTGAGTCTCCAAGGAGCTGGGGCCATCAAGGGTGAGTGTTTGTTTAGGAGGACCTGAGAAGGTCAGGGTGAGAGGTGGGGCAGCTACTTGCTTTAGGAATAAGGGATTTAAAAGACTCCTTGATCTATTTTCCTCTGTGTCTTTTTTTTTTCATCCTATGAGGGTCACCTTTTTCCTTCTTGCTCTAATGATCCTACTAGCAATGGCAACCACAATTTACTAGGCAGCTTTTTAGTTTGTTTTCTCATTTACAACTCACAAGAACCTTCAGTGGAGGATATCAATTGCTTCACTTTGGAGATGAAGAAAACTGAAGCTCAGCAGGATTAATGTACTTTCCAGTGTAGTCCACCAAGTCAAAGAGCCAGGGTCTAAATCCAGACCCAATTCTGATGATCATAGTCTGTATTCTCTGGACTTCTGCATACAGTGACTCTTTAACTGACCCCCACAGAGACTTCCCACCCCTTGTATCTCTCCTGGACCCCCGGACTCTGCTTTGTGTGGCCTTTTTTGAGGGATTTAGAGGTATAGGTTGGAACCTAAGACCCTTACAGGATTTTTGTGGCTAGCTCACATGGCTTCTTCTTGCAAGACAGCATGGTTGACTATTTTTGTTCACCTTGAAATTTGGGTCTTGAGTCACCTAGGGAACAATTGGTACATTGACAGGTCTAGACTTTAGATAACCACAGGACTCAGCCAGGGATTATAAATTATGACAATGTTCCTTCTCCCTGATGCTGACATCAGGGTGCATCAAGCCAGTGAATGCTGTCATTTGAAAATGTGGTGATGTGAAGGATTAGAATTCATAACATTAAAGATGCAGCCCTTGGGCCGGGGATTTAGCTCAGTGGTTTTGCTGCCTGCTGTGCAAGCCCAAGGACCCGAGTCCGATCCCTGGTACAAAAAAAAAAAAAAAAAGATGCAGCCCTTAGCTTGCAGACAGTTTAATTTAAACTGAGGTGGTCCAGGAGTCAGTAGAAGTGAAGAGGACTTTATGCTAATGCTATAAAGAATCAGAAGTACCTGTTGCCCTGTTGATGGTCATTTGGGTTATTTTCAATGTTGTGTTTCAGTGTTGTGTTATAATAAATACCATAATGAATATATCTTCATACAGGTATGAAGACGTTTTAGGGTTCTTGATAGACATTACGCATTAACTCAGTGCCTAGGGATGTCCGTGTCCTCACTCTGTAGCTAAGCTTCTGAATTCTGTCTCCAGTCCATCCTGAGCTTACTCTCACCTCAACCATCAGTAACCTCTGTGTGAGATCAAACCTTTCAGGTACTTTTCAGTGTCTTGCTGACTTGCGTTCTTGGTAACATTTGCACTGTAATCTAGCTCTTTCTGATTACTTACTGGAACTTTGTTTTAGATCCTTCTTCAACACATTCTGTGCTTGTTTTTCCTGTTTATTTTTTGAGGGGAGGATCCTTCTTATTCTCCTTTGAAATTGCTTCTTAATTATCATGTTCCCCAGAGTTATACATCAGGTCTCTGCAATTCTTATTCTATGCACTCTTCTTGGAAAATTTCACTCAAACCCTCAGTTCTCTGGCTGAACCCCTCCCCTGGAGTCAGTCACCAAGTATAACATCTGTATTATTGCTACTCGATGATTTTATGTATTTTAGATGCAAAATGCTCCACACTGAATTTCATATCTTTTCTCAATCACACTGTCTTCCTTTATTACTTTTTAAACTAGTGGAAGCAAGATGATTTCATTGGGTTGAGAAGATGTTGGTCAAAGGATACAAAATTTCAGCTAGATAGGAGGAATAAGTCCAAGATATGTATTGTACAACTTGGTGACTCTAGCTTAATAACAATACTTTGTTTTTTATTCAGTAAGGTATGTACTGGGGCTGGGGATTTAGCTCAGTGATGCCACAGCCTGTCTCACAAGCACAAGGTCCTGAGTTTGATCCCCGGTACCAAAAAAAAGGTATTTATTTAGTATTTGATATCTAGTATAGATTTGTAAATGCCAGAAACACACTTTTACAGTCAGACAGTAACATACATATATTTTGAGTGTACAATTTGATGAGTTTTGACAAAGATACACACTCGTGTGTATGCACATGTAGAAAATCTCCATCCCAGAAAATTCCTTCACACTCCTCTGCAGTCATTTCCACACCCTTGGCAACTCTTGATCTGATTTCTGTCCTTATAGATGAGTTCTGCTAGTTTTAGAACTTCATAGAAATAGAATCATACATGTCCTTTTATATTTCTGGCTTACCTATCTCAATGTAATATTCCTTTTTTAAAATTAATTTTATTGGTACAGTTTAAATATACATGGCAATCACACTCATCAAAGGGAATCTGTACCTGTACGTGGCCTATCTTGGTTCCTCTTTTTCTCCCAGTCCCTTCCCCTCCTTTCAACCCCTCCTTTCCCTCTTATTTACAAAAGTTTTGTTTCTATTTTTTCTCTTCTTTCTCGATTTTTCCTCTTCCTTTCCCCCCTCCCCCTTCACAGTTTCTCTTTCCTTTTGAACAGTTTCTTCCTATTTCATATTATCTACTATACATTTTGTCCTTATTTGCTCTTTCAGTTTCTCACACCAGAAAGAATGTGATATTTACACATATGTATCCAATTTATTTCACTTAAGAGTATAATCTCAAGTTGCATCCATTAAGCTATAAATGTGTCAAGTTTATCTTTCTTTGTGGCAGAGTAATACTCCATTGTATATAAAAACCAGACCTTTTTTATCCATTCATTGGTTGATAGGCATTTGGGTTGCTTCCACAATTTAGCTATTACAAACTGTGCTGCTATAAACATGAGTGCACATATATCACTGTGGTATGATACTTTTAGTTCTTTTGGGAAGAGAGCCAGCAAGGGAGTAGCTGGGTCAAATGGGACTTCTAATCCTAATTTTTTTTTTTTTGGTACGGGGATCAAACTCGGGACCTTGTGCTTGTGAGGCAGGTGGCGGGACCACTGAGCTAAATCCCCAGCCCTAATCCTAATTTTTTTTGGAAGTATAAATTGCGTTAGTTTAGTTTTTTTACTCTCCAACATTTACAGAGCCCTCGTATGTGCTTATATTGTCCAAACTCTGAGGCACAAAAATGAATACAATTTGTAATGGTTGAAAGGCCAGTTTATCTAAATGCATTAAATAGCAACCTATACCAAAGGTACTGAGATTGGGAGAGTGTACTGTGTTTTGTTTTTTTTTCCCTAATCCTAATTTTTTGAGGAATCTCCACACTGATTTCCACAGTGGTTGCACCAGTCTGCACTCCCACCAACAGCAGAGAAGAGTTCCTTTCTCTCCACAGTCCTGCCAACATTTGAATAACAATACTTTGTACCCTTAAAAATCACTGAGAATGGATTTTAAATGCTCTCACCACAGGAAATAATAGATGTATGAGGTTGTACATGTGTTAATTAACTTTACTTAGCCATTTCATGAAACATGTTTCAAAACAGTGTATACAGAATAAATATACATTTTCAATTTGTTAATTAAAAATAATTTTACAAGTGACAAAAGGAAGAGAGAGAGAGAGACGGACAGTTGCATTGACCAGCCGAAGAATCAGAAAGTTATACGGAACTTTTCCAACTCTATTACCACCTGTATCCTGTATCACTCACCAAGTCTTGGGTATATAATCTCTTAATGTCAATCACATTTAATTCACTTCCCTCTTCTTTTTGTCAATCTGCTCACTTCCTCTCGTCTCATTACTCAAGCACCACTGGTCCAGCCTTTTCCATTAGCCTGCCTCTCTCTCTCTATATATATACATATATATTTTTATGTATGTATGTATGTATTTATTTATTTATTTTTTGTACTGGTGATCGAACTTGGGACCTTGAGCTTTTGAGGCAGGTGGGGGAACCACTGAGCTAAATCCCCGGCAGCCTCTCTTTATATATTAATAGATCTTTTAAAAATTTTTTATTAGGGCCGGGGATTTAGCTCAGTGGCACCATGCCTGGCTTGCAAGCACAAGGTCCTGAGTTCTATCCCTGGTGCCAAAAAAATTTTTTTATTAGTACGTGATTACAGTGCGTAATGATTACATTTATTGTGGGAAGTTGATACATGTACGTCTTAATTTTCTTTTCTTCTTCACCCCCTTCCTTTCCCCTCCGTCTTGATTCATTTTTGTGTCTCCAGAACTTACATATTCATTTTTACACTTTGTTGTGTTTTTCTCTGTTTCCTTTATGCAGCGGACCATGTCTCAACTTATGCCATATTTGCACAAACCCACAGCCCATCAGGGGAGTATATGTTTGAGTTTGATGAGGATGAGCAGTTCTATGTAGATCTGGACAAGAAGGAGACCATCTGGCATCTGCCGGAGTTTGGACGAGCCTTTAGCTTTGATGCTCAGGGTGGATTGACTAATATTGCTATAGCAAATTCAAACTTGAATATTCTGATCAAGAGGACCAACCGTACCCAGGCACCCAATGGTACTGCCTCTCTTTACTTCTTTCTCTTTTAGTCATCTGGGAAGGGATGGGAGGGCCCCATCTGGGACATCTAGGTGGCACTACCGAGTGATGCCCATGGGCTTCTTCCAAGAGAAATGGTGACTGAGTGCAGCCCATCAGTGGAATGAGACTCCTGGCTCTGATTCTGGAACCAAGGGTAACATAAAGTCTGAGCCCGAGGTAGATGGCACCCAAGGTGGAGCCTCTGTGATTCACCCTGGGCCGCTCACCGGGTTTTGTCCTCTCTTAGATCCTCCTGAGGTGATTGTGTTTCCCAAGGAGCCCGTAGAGCTGGGCGAGCCCAATGTCCTCATCTGCCATGTGGACAGGTTCTTCCCACCTGTGCTCAATGTCACCTGGCTTCGGAATGGGCAGCCAGTCACTGTGGGTGTTTCCGAGAGCATCTTCCTGCCCCGCACAGACTACAGCTTCCACAAGTTCCACTACCTGACCTTCCTTCCCAACACTGAGGACGTCTACGACTGCAAGGTGGAGCACTGGGGCCTGGACGAGCCGCTCCTCACGCACTGGGGTACAGAGCCTCACTTCCCCTCTGTGAGCCCCATTCCTGGGACCCGGGAGGCAGCCTCCCCTTGCCCCTCACCCTACTGTGCCATCAGGTGGTCTATGGCCTTCAGGCTCCATGCTCACCCAGGCCAGCCCCATCTGTAGCACACATTCTGACCCCAAATCTTCATTTTTCCACAGAGCCCCAGGAGCCCATCCAGGTGACAGAGACAATGGAGACCGTGGTCTGTGCCCTGGGCCTGGTCGTGGGCCTGGTGGGCATCACTGTGGGGACTGTGCTCATCATCAGGGCTCTGCAATCCAGTCGCGACCCCCGGGCCCAGGGTCCCCTGTGAGTTATTATGGAGTTGGGGCTCTTAGGACAGAGGAAAAGAAGGGGGAAACCTAGTGTTGTATCTAAAGAAAGGAGGAAAAACGCTATTTGATAAGGTACACGTTGATCTATTATTGGATTAACAGCACAGAGCTGCGAAACAACAACACTGATAATTTACTGAGAACAATATGCAGAGGCGCTATTCTGGGCATTTACCTTAATCCATTTTATACTCACAAGTAATGTATGTGAGGTAGGTAGTGCTGTTGTCATCATTCAACACACCAGAGATACTTGTATCTTCTCATATACACAGCAGCATTCCATAGCTGGAAGTTGTGAAGTGAGCATTTGAATCCAGGAAGATTAGATCCAAAGCTGTTGGCTTAGTCATTGTCCTGAGCGACTTACTTTATAAAGAAAATGCAAAGTCCGAACTCCCCAAGAGCCAGGTCGATGTCTATGCATAATCACAACACGGTGTGACAGGTGCCTAATACACTGTTTGCTCTCTCTTCTTGGGTCACTGAATGGTAAAACTCACACAAAAATGCCCCTTCTGGGACTTCAGATTTAAAAAATTTCTCATAACACATTTATCATTGCATATTTATATTTTTATGTTTTCATACTTGTTTCCCATTAGATAGTATCTCCCCGTGATGATGACCACCTCTTACTCCTTATCATCACCCTCACGGTTCATGCTGGACCCAGGTGCCAAGGGCGAAGTCAGTCACACTGCTCAGTGGAGGATTCTATCACGATGCCTCCAAGTTCTCTGTCTTGATGTGTTTGTTCTCTCTATCTTCAGTCTTTACGTGCATATCTAAGCCCAATCCCAGCCTATAGGTAAACATTCTAGTGGATTTGATGAGTTTTCCTTGATTTGTATATATCTTGTATAACACATAGCATTATTCAGTATACATACTTGGTAATTAACCAATGTAGTATTATATTATAGATCTAAGTGTGTGCATATAGTCTGTTGCTTTCAGATGTTCCATAGTATTTTACATTATCCCCCCATCTGTCTGTATTCCACCTGGAGAATCTGGATTATTTCTGGTTCTCCACAGCACAAGCACGGTTGGCATTCTCACAGGGACCTCGTTCCTGGAATGTACGTGTCCCAGGAAGCCGCGCGGGGTGGCTTGGGATGCAGCTGTTCTGCTTGTTCCAGCACCGCCTGTCTGCTCCCTGCGGGGCTGCACTAACCTGTATTTCCTTCACCTCTACCTGAAATCTGCAGATCTAAAATCCATGGCAACGTTGGACATTATTAGTTTTCCAAATTTTTTTGCCAGTTTTATGCATGTAAAGGAATATGCTGTTTGTATTTGCATTTCTTTAATTACTTCAATTGGAACTACTTCTGTACTCGCTAGCCACTTGGGAGTTCCTTTTTTGTAAATTTCTGATTCACATCCTTTGTCCATTTTGTACATTGGGCCCCTATCTTGTTCTTTTTGATTTGCAAGAGATCTTTATGCCGTCTTCCTAGTAGTCCCATGTCAGTTTTTGGCATTTCAAATGTTTTCTTCCAATCTAACTTTTGGCAACTTCTTTCTTGATTTCCTTTGTTGAAGAGAAATCCTTAGTACTTTTAAAATCAACTACATCAATATTTCTGTTTTTTGCTTTTGTGATTTAAAAATGTTCTCCCTGTAAGGAGGTCTCAGTCTTAAAATATCTCTTACAGATTAAAATTTCTCATTCAGTTTCTTGATTTTTTGGGGAATAACTTGATTTATCTCTATGTGGTAGATAGTTTTTCAACAACTTTTCTCCGTAAGTTTTTGGTGTCTCTTTATTGTGTTGAAAGTTCCCATTATATGTGGCTCTGTATCTGAGTTCTGTTTTATTCCAAAGATTTATTTGCCTCTTCTGTGACAGTGTCCTAATGTGTTAATATCTGATAGGATAAATTCCTTCTCTTTTAGTTTTCTTTGTTCAAACATTTCTTATTTCATACAAATTTTAAATGAGATGTATCAGGTGTCCCGAACTCCTTAACTCCTAACTGCTGCTCATCAGGAAGCACCAGGACATGTTCAGGGAGAGCCACCTTCTCCCTGGGACCTAAGAAGGGCAGAGAAATGTGGGAATTAGGTGTAAAGTGGATGGGGAAGGTGTGTCTGAGCTTAGAGACCTGAACCCAAGGATGACATCTGTAACTGTGTCTTGCTGCAGGTGACGAAATTCCTGAAAAGAAGATTTAGGAAAAATTTGAATTCCAAGTTCTCTCCAAACTGTAGTCTCAGCTTAATTCTCAATTCCTGGGCTCTCCATTCCACTGACCAACTTTCTTGAAGACCCTTCAAGTCTATGGCTCTGCTATCCTGAACTCACCTAATCTCGTCTGAAGACACTTCAAGTCCTTATTTGTGACCTTAAAGCAATTAGTCCTTAGTAATTAGTCCCAACAAATAGAAGGTAATGGATCAGTGTTAATAGTTCCACAGCACTGGTGTGAAGATCATCGCTCTTCTGGGGTTCATATCCTCTGGTTTCCTCTCCAAAGCCATTCTCTGCCCCCTTCCTGAGTATACCGAGGCCAATAAAGTCTTCAGTTTTTCAGAGCCAACAGAGCCTGAGTTCTTCTTGTTAAAAATCTAGGACTGGGTCATATATGACCCATATGTTATGAAGGTGTGGTTTCAGAGTGGCTTACAGATGTAGCTATTATAAATTCTGACTTCACCAGGGTGTAACGCCTGAGAATTTTGATTTACCCCTGGGTTATTCATGAAGTACAAGACAGGGTTTGGTGAAGAGAGGATATTGGGAGAAATTTTGCTTGGATTAAGATGTGATTTGATGTAGTTTGAAGACTGCAGTGATTGAATCTCTAAGTGAAGAGGTTTGGTCTGTCTCAGCCAAGATGTCAGGCTGACCTGGATCCCAGTCACTACCCTTGAGCTTTCTCCCCATGTCTAGATTGTAACTAAGCTGACTGCCCATGGATTATGTTTTTCAAATGATGAACTATGATCTAGCAAAGAAAATAAGAAAGCACCCTCATTCATTCCAGTTTATACCTGCTGCATCACTCTATGTTGGAAGACTTAAGTTACAATAATCAGAGTTTAGAACCCAAGGTTTGAGAAAAACAGTGCTGAAAATGGAATAAAAATATCTTATTTGAGCAAGATTTTATTTATTTACAGAACATTTTCTAGATGTTAATATGAAAGCATGAGGTGAAAATGCAGACAAATATAAAAGGTTTTTCTATTTTTGTCTAAAAAAATTTAAATAATTTTAAAAAGTAACAATTATTTTTCATGTTTATAACATAACTAAGGTAAAATATATGACAACTGCACAACAAATAAGTGGGGAAAATGTAAATATGGTGTTATATTGTTCTTGCATATTATTATTTGAAGGTAGAATTATTAACTTAAAGATAAATATTTTAAACACCACAGCAACTACTAAAAAGATATTTAGTTTGTAAGCCAATGAAGAAGATAAAATGGAATAGTAAACACAATCCAAAATAAAGAAGTAAAAGACAAAATGAAAGCAAATTATAAGACAGAGTTAAAGACAATGAAAGCAACAATTGAAATAATTGTATATCATTTAAACCCTAAAGACAAAGATTGTCAAACTATACCTAAAAGGGTAATTCAGCCGAATGCTGTCTACACAATACCCACCCTAAAAATGAAAACAGACATAGGTAAAAAGTTTTTAAAAAGGGAAAATAATGCTAACAGTGGGAATGTTGGTAGCTGTGTTAACGTCAGAAAGATCGGATTTCAGAATAAGGACTCTCCCCGTGGATAAAGGTGGACAGTCCATGAGCATACAAAGATAATCCATCAAGAACATATTGCAATCCTAAATTATGTATCCACCTGGTAAAAAACTTCAAAGTACATGACACATACAAGCAGAAATAAATTCAATTATCTTTTAATATTTCAGCAGAATTGTCTCAGTAAACAGAACAATTAAACAACCCAAACAATCAGTACATGGAATATTTGAACACCATAATCAACCAACCAACATTACCTAATTGACATTATTCTGCTGTTACATATAATAGTAGCAATATATACTTTATTTTAATTAATTAATTAATTAATTTCTCTTTTTGGTACCGGGGCTCAAACTCAGGTCCTTGCGCTTGCGGGGTAGGTGGTGGAACCACTGAGCTAAATTCCTGGCCCCATATTTTATTTTTAAATGAACATAAAACATCCAGCTGATAGGCCATACTCTGGGTCTTAAAACAAACTCAGTAAACTTGGGAGTTTGAAATTGTATAGAGTATATTTTCTGATCACTACAGAATTAAATTAGAAGCTAGTGATAGAAAAACATCTGGAAAATCCCAAATATTTGGAAATTGAAAAAGCAAGCTTCTAAATAGCACCTGCACTATAGAAGCGTTGGGAAGAAAATTAGAACATACTTTGAATTGGACAAATATATCAAAATCTGTGTGATACATAATTGGAGGGTAATTTATAGCTTTACAAATTTAGAAAAGAGGAAACCACTAAAAATCTATGATCAATCCCCAGTACCAAAAACAAACAAAAAAAGCCAGAGATACTCAGGGAAGATCAACCAGAAGCACAGGTAATTGAAGTGGTGAAGGGACTTACACCTTGATACAGAAAATTAATTTGAAAGAAGATACATGTAGCTCAAACCACACATTTGGGTAGTGGTTAAAACAAGGAAAAGCCGCTCTGCCAGGGCCGGTCCGCGTGGCCCCACCTTCACTCAGCGCAGGAGCAGCCATCTTGAGAACTTCCCGAGCATCCTGAGGGAATTTGCTGCAGAGCCTGGTCTCCTGGGATAGACGCTGGGTACGTGGGTTCCTTCTCCCAGACAGTCTCTCTCTCTCCGGCATCCCACATCAGTCCTGGGCCAACTGAGTCCCCACTGAGCCTCCACTGACTGCGCCAGCCCACTTGAGTCTCCTCCTGGTGCTCTGAGCTGGTCCCGCATCCACCAGTCTCCACCTGGCTCCCTGCCCGAGTCTCCCCCTGGAGTCCCATCTAGTGTCCCATGCCAGTTCTGGGGCCACCTGAGTCTCCACCTGAACCCCCCCCCCCGAGTCTCAGCCTGGCACCCCACACCTCTAAGTCGGCTACAACTCCTTGAGAGAAGAGAGTCCGTAAGCCAAGACTGGAGTCAATTTTAGTATATGTGCTGCCGAAGCGAGCATGAGACTGGAGCCAAATTGTGCCTGCTGGCTGGGGGTGGGGGACTGAAAAGAGGAGACGTTCATGTGGTTGCATTCAAGCAGACCGCAACTAATGTAAGAAGGGGATTACATGGGCACACAGGCTATATGGCACAGTGAACACATGTATGCGCTCTTTCTGGAGCGTGTGAATTGGGTCTCCATTGGCTCTTTGCTGTTACTTTGCTTTCCTTCTGTTTTCTCTTTTTCGCATTGATTTAGTAGTTGCTCTCTCCCTTCTCCTCTCCCAATTCTAGCATCTGTTGCAACATTAATTGCTTATTTTTTTCTTGTTTCTCCTACTTTCTAACTTCCTCTCAAGTCTTTTTGGAATACTGCGCTCTTTCTCACTCACCTCCCCATTTTCTCCTATGACCCTTCTGGCCTCTCTATTCTATTCTCTTCACTCTCCCTTATCTTACTCAGTCCTTGTCTTCCCTAGCTTCTTCTTCACCTTACAGGTGCACCAATATTACAGCAGGTTCTGACAACTTTGTAGCTCTCCTCAATCCCAAATTACCTCCCCCTGCATCCTGCCCTCCCTGTATTTTCTCTAATCCCTCAACACTAGCCCTGCATCCCAAATATAAAAGACCTCCAACAGAACCTGATGCCCTAGCCATTTTTTACCTTTGATTATTTCTCCTAAGTCTCCCGCGACTGATTCACATGCCTCTTTCACCCATCCCTCCATCTCTTCTCTTTCCTTCACCCTCTACGTCTTAGACTACTAATAGCAATGTAGTATAAGCTACAAAGCATATGAATAAAGAGTATATCTGTAAATATGGGGTATTACACATATGAGCAGTGTATGGTTGGATTTGTTGATACTGTTATAAGCAGTAGTAATTCCTTCCTCGCAACACAGTATCAGGGCCCAAACCATTTAACTTAAGTAGCTGAAGGGGTGAACACTCTCTGGTCAAATAAAGCAGTGAATATATCATCAAAAGACAGACTCTAACTGAAAAGATCCTCATATCAACTATAATCTCTCCTCACTTTACTAGATATCAACCCTCAGCCCCAAAGAGAAAAATATATTTATATATACATACACAAAGGAACATGGAAAAACAAGAGAACAAAAGGCCTCCAAGGACTCCCAACTCTCCCAAGGTAGATCTAGGGGGCGCCGATGGAGAGGAAAGCAAATGGCAGGCTGTGGAGCTCTACAAAAAGTTTAAGAAGAGATGAAGAAACTTTCAAGTTCAGAGAGGATATGACCCAAAACTTTACAGAATTATCACTTAAAATGCCCAGTGTTGATTTGGGGAAAAAAATTAAAAAATTGAAAGAGCTGACCATGAAAGATTAATTCATCAAAGATATAGAATCCATGAAAATGTATCAGATAGAAAAACCTGAAATAAAACATATAGAATTCATAAATTGCAGAAATAACCAATGTGAAGACAGTGTCTCAAATTGAAAACAAAATGGTAAATTATGATGTACTCAGACAAGCCACAAAAAATAAAAGAACAAGAAAAAATTATCCAGAAGCTGCTAGATGACACTAAGAAGACCAGCCTAAGGCTAACTGGAGTTAGAGAAAAATTAGAAAATAACACAGACTGAATTATTAGTTCACAGAAATCATAATAGAAAAATTTCCCAAATATGAGAAAAGAGTTCAACACACAAGTAAGTGAGGCTTTCAGAACATCAAACAACCATGAAGAATAAAGAAGCTCACCATGACATATCATTTTTTTTTTTTTTAGTTTTTTGAGACAAGGTCTCACTATTAGTTCAGGCTGGCCTTGAATTCACTATGTAGCCCAGGCTGGCCTCGAATTCACAGCAATCCTCCTGCTTCAGCCTCCCAAGTACTGGGATTACAGTCATGTGCCACCATGCCCGGTAACATATCATTATTAAATTGCCAGATGTCCAACAACAAGACTAGACTTAAAAGCAGCCAGAGAACAACAACAACAAAACTACATGTAGAGTAGCTGAGTGACCTCTGTCTGCCACAGGGCCTTCAGAAGCAGCCTCAGCAGTGTGGAGAGGACTAGACTCATGGGGTGTGAGGCAGGACAGGCTTTGAAAAGGATCCTTCTGGGATCCCAAGCTCCTAGGGCAGAGAAGGTGAG